CCGGGGTCCTGCCTACCAAGCCTGAGCTCCACGGATCGATCCTGGGAAGCGCCCCTCACCCCACCCTCCCCAACCCACTCCACTCCACTCCCCAGCACCCCCCAGGAAAGGGGTCTGGGTATGCTAGGGTAGAAGCAGGGGAGGGTCCGGGAGAGGCCGGAAGGGGAGTGTGCTCTGCGTTCGGAGCTATTTGGGTCATGGCTGGCACTGCCCTGAAGGCTCCTCCCAGCCTCCACCTCATCGCCCCCTTCCCCACCCATCCCACCTCCACCGAGCAGGACCGAGCTGCCCTCTCCCGCAGCCCGAGTCCCTCCCGGTGGTTACACAACCACAGCCGCCAAGGCTGCCGAGGACAGGGCCACCCGTGGAGACCTCCCCGCACTGACAGGCGTGGCTCCAGGCACACTGGGGTCCCAGCACCTTCAGGTCAGGCCCAGGGCACGCCCTGAAGGCAGAGGGGCTTCACTGGGTCCCCCCAAGGTCAACATCACGGTGGAGGGACGCACAGCCACACACGCCAGGTGTGCACTCCACACTGATATGTCCGCCGCGAACACCGTGGGCACAGCAGGACACACACACAGGCTCATCATCACACTCATGCACTCATACACTGTCCACACACAACTCACATGCACACCCACTATCCCACTCACGCATGCACAGGGCACTCAAACCTGAGTATACATGCTGTTGCACACACCCTTCACAAACTCATGTTTCCACAGGCACCCTCCTTGCCACACTCCTGCACACTTCACTTTTACACAACGACACTGTCACACTCACTCCTTCTCATGCAAGCACGTGCGCGCACGCACACACTACACTCCCACTTGACCATGATCACTTATGTGCATAGTCACCGCTCATGCTTTAACACACGTTTACTGATAAGGGAACTCCCACGCACATGCTCACACGTGTTCTCTTACACACACACACACACACACACACACACACACACACACACACACACTGACCTGTCAACACAAATCTGTAAGAACACCCTCACACCCACACCTCCAGGCCACTCATAGCCTTAAGGAGGTAGGCCCCCAAACACAGAGCTTTGCAGATTCCTTCTCTCGAAACGAGCAAGACTAGTGAGCTCACAAGCACACTCACACAATGCATACTCACAAACATGCACACACATGCATACTTACACCCAATGCACTCACTCACGCCCATACACGCACACTCATACAGTGCACTCCCACACTCACAATGCACACTCACAAACACACACACACACTCACACGAGTACACCCAGTGCACTCACATATGCATACTCACGCTCACACATACATGCTCATAGTGCACTCCCACACTCACAATGCACTCACAAACGTGCACATTTACACCCAGTGCACTCACGCTCACACATGCACGCTCATACAGTGCACTTCCACACTCACAAATACACCCTCACACGAGTGCACCCAGTGCACCCTCACACATACGCACACACCTGCATGCTCATGGTGTACTCCCACATTCACAATGCACACTCATAACTGCACACTCAATGCACTCACATAATACACTCACACATGCACACTCACACATACACGCCCATACAGCCCACACAGCACACTCGCCCATGCATACCCACAGTACACACGCTCACACTCACACAGGGCACTCACTCATAACACACTCAGAGCATGCACTCTCCCACTCCCTCATACATGCACACTCATGCTGAGCACCACCATAACCATGCACACCCCCACTCATTCACACATTCTTACACATGCAGACTTGCATTCTCTCACACACTCATTCCTGCTGGCATATTGGCTTCCAGTCAAAGGGTCATACTCTGGCAGACACTCACAGATGCACACCCTCACATGCACTCATCCACTCACCCACAGACTCACTCACCCACAGCCCCCACTATGCGCTGCTGCCCACCACCCCTGGCTGTGGGGCTGAAGGGGCTGAAGGCGACCCCCTGCCCCTCTCTGGGCCGCCAGTGCAGCTTCCATCTCTGAGCGAGTCCTCTCCTCGTGGGTCTCCGTCTCAGCCTTGCACCCATTTCTTTCCTCTTCTGTGCCTGTCTGCCTCCATCTCTCTCCTCTCTCTGCTCTCCTCCTCCTCCATCTCTCTCTTCACTCACCCACTGCAAAGTCCCCCTCTCCTCCTCCTCTTCTCTGTCCTCTCTCTCCTCCCCCCTTCTCCTTCCTCCTCCCCCTCTTGCTTCTAAGTTCACTCCTCAGGCCTCCATCTCTGATCTTACAGTTGTGTACACACACACACACACACACACACACACGTCACAGAAGCACAGGCTGCCGCCCACTGCCCCCACCCCCCCACCACTGTGTGATCCCTCCCGTGAGGGTGACAGACTACAGCTGCAGGACTCAGTGGGAGGCACAGGGAGTCAAACAGGAAGAAGGGAGAGTAAGGGTGCCTGGTGCCTGGAGCCGGGAGCAGCCACCAGCCCTCACCTCCCACCCCGTGAAACTGCACCCTGCCCAGGGACACCAGCAGGCCCTCCACCAAGTCCCACACCTCTGGCCTGACGGCACCGAGGCAGACACAAAGGCTTAGGCCTTGTGGCCACTGGACAGAGAGCAGAATCAGAACCCAAGACTTGAGCCTCCAGTTGGGAGCCCCCTCCAGCGATCCAGCCCCTCCTCCCCATGACCAGGGCTGGGGACCCCATTGCCTGGCCCCCTCACTGGCCTGAACAGCAGTAGGTTGGGATCTTAGTGGGAGATCCCAGACCCGAGGCCCCACGCAGGGAGGGGACACCGGCTGCGCAAGGGTGTCTAACCTCGCCCCTTTCCCAGGCCCTGCTGCTCGTGGTGGCCCTGGCCGGCCTGGGCTTGGGCCTGAGCCTCATTTTCATCGCCGTCTACCTCATCCGCTTCTGCTGCTGCAGGCCCTCAGAGCCCCCAGGGGCCAAGAGCCCCCAGCCCGGGGGAGGCTGTGTGACCTGGAGCTGTGTGGCCTCCCTTCTCATCGGCTGGTAATGGGGTGCCCCCGCCAGGAATGGGGGTGGGGGCGGGGAGTGAACCCCCGGCTCTCTGCCTTCTTCACCCACCATCCTGGTGGTCTCCCGGGGTGTGGGAGCAGACAGGGAGGGGCGGCAGGACCCCACTGCATCCTCACAGCAGAGGGTTCCGTGGATGGACGGAGAGACCGCGGTCCAGAGAGGGGACGGCGTGACTGTCTCAAGGAGGGAGCACCTGGGTTTGACTAGCCCTGGGGCCTGTGGTCCTTGTGGTTCGTACTCTGAGCCACCCCCAGGTACCACAGAACGAAACACTGCCCCCATCCTGGGCCCTCCTTGCAGTGGTTCTGATATGGAAACCCGTGGTTGCAGCCACAGTGGTCAGCTGGCGTGGCGAGGGCCTTCCGGTTTCGTTTCCCCACTGCCCTCGCTGGAACCCGGGTGGTTGGTAGGTGCCTTCGAGCCAGTTCTGACTCCCAGGGACCCGATGTACAGCAGCAAGTGGACCCTCAGCGGGTCTTGCACCATCCACACCATCGCATCCCCACTGCTGTGTGAGCCCAAGGCGGCAGCTGCAGGGTCCAGCCTCGTGTTGGGGATCAACCCCTCTCTTTTCCCCTGCCCCTCCACTCTACCCACTTTGCCGGCTAAGCGGGAGGGTGTGATTTCTTGGGGCCTTGGTCTGTGCATCCACAGACTGGGCACTGCCACGCGTGACAGTAAGATCGGATGAGACCGTGCAGAACACCTGGCTCAGCTGCTGCATGCAGCCACTGTCAACTTGGCATGTCCCTCCCTCCCTCCCTCCCTCATCCATCCATGCATTTGCTCTGTCAGCAAGGGCACAGGCTAGGAGACACTGAACAGGAGAGGCAAGCCCCCACCCCACCCACCCTCCACCCTGGGCCCTTCGTAGAGCTCACAAGCTCTGGTGGCCTAGTGGTTGAAGCCCTGGGTTGGTAGCCAGGTGTGTTGGTGGTTCGAACCCACCTTCAGGAGAAAGCAGTAGCTGCCTGCTTCCATAAGGATGGCCGCCATGGCGACTCTGTGGGGGCATCCACGTCTTTTCCATGGGGTCACTTAGAGTTGGACTAGATCACCACAGTGGGTTTTCAAAGGGTTGACCCTCTCTCATCATGGAGAGAGGCAATGACTGAATGCTGACACCCCCAAGAGCCCCACTGTGTGTCCAACCCCCGAGGTGCCTTGATGGACTCAATTTTGTAAGATGTGAAGAAGAGAGAGGGGGACGCTTCAAGGCCTCCCGTCTCAAGTGAGAGAGTGGGCCTTGGGGCCCAAGGATTTCCCAACCCATCTGAACCCAAGGGTGACCCAAGGGAGACAGATAGAGGAGGACTGGAGGACACAGCAGGTGACCAGAGCTGGCACCAGAGAGCCCCTCAGATGCACACCGCCCCCCCCAAGTCACAGGCACCTGTCCTGGGCCACACACACACACACACACACACGCTAGCAAGGAGAAGGACCAGGAGTGGTCATTCCTGTAGTAGACACTGCAACCGGCTGGACCCCAGGTTCCACACCCCAAGCTCTGCTGGGAGCAAGTGTCTGAGTTTGGGGGCGGGGTGGGGCGCCCTACATCCAAGAAGCTCTCTCCTCAGGATCTCATGAGTGGGGGTGGACAAAGGCCCCGCGGGGGAGAGACACGGCCCCAGCCCCCGCTGCAGGGGAACAAGAGGAGCTTTGTGGGACTCGGAACAATGGGGCGGGGGCGCTGGGGCTTGGCGTCAGATGTAGGCCCCAGGGATGGGGTGGGGGTTGGGGGGCGGCCCAGGCGGAGCTCTGGGCTGGGAACTGTGAGCGCGACCATCTCTCTCCGCCCAGCGAAGTGAGGACTTGTGCCCCCTCCGCGGCCCCCCCCACGCGCAAGGGGGGGAGGGGCAGGGACCGTATTCAGACCCCCACAATGAAGCGCTGTGTCTTGGCAGGGGCGGGGCGGGGGCGCCGGCTTCTTGCCCATCCCTCCCTTCCCACGCTCCTTTGCTTTCCTCCCAGCTGGCCAGACGCTTGGGTTCTGGTGGGGGGTGAGGGAGAGGGTGGGGGCGCCAGGCTCCGCGTCCCTCTGGAGATGGTGCCCCAGCAAGCGATCTGCACTCCAGACCCGCCCTGGGGTGGGGGGTGGGGGCGGGGACTGAAAGGAGCCAGGGTACCTGAGGGGACAGGTGTTTATTCCTGGGTGGAGGAAGGGATGGGTGTGGGGTGCTCCTCATTGGAGGGGGACGCCTTATGGGGGCTGGGTTTGATTCCGTTTTCTTTCCGGTGAGGGGTGAGTTAAATTTGGGGGGCTGCTACCACTCCACCCACCATTAACATCACAATGACGTGCCTCCAGCCGGGGGAGTGAGGCCTTCCCGTTGCCTGGACAACAGGAGGGATCCGGCAGAGATGGTCCTTTCCCACGATGGAATGGACCAATGGAGTGGGGCTCGGGGAGGCGGGATGGGTGTGTGAGGAGGGGGCGGTGGCCCCCAGGGTCCCGGGACTGGTAGAGATTTGCCTTCCCTCCTCCCTCTCAGCGCCAGCATTGGCATCGGTTTCTACGGCAACAGTGAGACCAGCGATGGAGTGTCTCAACTCAGCTCTGCCCTGCTGCACGCCAACCACACGCTCAGCGCCATTGACTACCTGGTGAGGGTAGCCGAACGCTGGCCAGACCCCCCAGACCCTCACCCAGACGGGTTCCCTACACCGGGAACCCGGGACTCAATCCTAGACGCCCCCAAGCCCGTACCCCATTCTATCCCTGGACTTCAACCAGAGGCTTATCTCCAAACCCCAGTTAGGGCCCTTGGTCTTGGTCAACCAGTCTGGGTGTGGGTCTGGGTTGGGAGACAAGACCAAGGACCCTAGACCCAAGGCCAGAGGGACCCTGACCAATGTAACAGGATTACAAAGCAGAGCAGAGACCCCAGTGTGAACCGTAGGACGGGAGACCTAGATGTTCAAATTCACACTTGCATTTGGGGTTCTATGTTCAACGTCAGATCCAACCCACACATTGAGGGCTTCCGGTGTGGGGTCCACGGCACCTCCATCGAGATCTGGAAATTGGGACACAAACCCAGACCCCCCAAACTCCTACCCACTTCCAGCCCCGGACTTCAAAGTGGGACTCACACCCACACTCAGACTGGATCCCCACAGCAAGAGCCAAGGGCCCTATGAAGACCCCGGCATGGAGGCACCTTTCCTAGAGATACAGGATTCAGATGAGAAAAGATGTGAAACTTAGGGCCCCAGATCCAGAAGTTCAAGTTCAGACTTGGTCTCGTGTCTGGTCTCTGATCCAACCCACCAGTCAAGGGCCTACCACGTGGGGACCCCCAGAACGTTAACCTACTTCTTCCAACCCCAGATAGCAACCTGAGACATACCCCCCAAAAAAAAAAATTGAGAAGGACTCATTTCTGAAGATCTCAGACCATCTCCTAAGAGCAGGGGCTAGGGCCACGGAGCTGGCTGTACCCCCAAAATACAAGCACAGGACTGGCCCTCAGCACCAAGGCTCATGACCTAGATAGTAGGGCTCTTGGCTGCAGTCTGCAGACTTGGGACTCTGGGGCCTGATGGGGAGTCCAGGCATCACCTCAAACCCTAGCTTTCTGATCCATCTCCAGAACCAGTCTTGTGAGCCCAGACTCCACAGGACAGATGGCAGACTTCAGACCTAGGGGCCCCCAGACTGCGCCCCCACCCCCGTGGCCCCCATGCTCCTTATGAAAGCTATAAAACCCCATGAGCTTGACCTCAGATACCCCACCCCAGACCTCATTCCTCAGACACCCACTGCAGCTACCCAGCGCCCCACCCGGGGGTCTCCATAGACAGGCCTGGGACCCACTGTCCCTCCAGGTGTTTGAGACCGTGGACAGGCTGGACGAGGCGGTGAGGACAGAACTGACTACCCTAGAGGAAGTGTTCTCGGAGCGCACGGAGCTGGTGGCTGTGGCCAGGGGCACCCGGCGTCAGGCTGAGACGGTGGCCCAGCAGCTCCAGGGACTGGCCTTCTGGCAGGGGGTGCCCCTGAGCCCACTGCAGGTGGCCGACGACGTGTCCTTTGTGGAGGAATACAGGTGAGTCGAGGAGCCCCGGTGGGTGGCCGAGTGGTTTCACGTTGGGCTGCTCATCCCAAGGTCAGCAGTTCGAACCCACCAGCCGCTCCTCTGAAGAACAATGAGGGCCTCTCCTCCCGTCATGAGTTACAGGCTCAGAAACCCACGGGGGCGAGTTCTACCCTGTGCGATCTGGTTGCTATGAGTCGGAATCGAGTGGGTTTTTGTTAGTTGGTTGGGTCTTTGTTCCTGAGTTGGCCAACGGAAAGGTCAGCCGTTCAAACCCACCAGTGGCCTCTCAGGGGAAAAGACTCAATGACCTGCTCCTCTAAAGTTCTCCCTCCCCCACTTTTTATTGACATTCATGCACCACACGAGTCAATGGCTCGAATATATGAGAACAGAATTGTGGAGGACCCAACACTCTTCCTCTGCCCCTAGTGGTCTGAGGGGATCGGCCAAAGTGGTTTGCACGAAAACCCCGCAGAATCATGCCAATCAAGAGGGTTGAATCTCCAGATCCATTTGAAGAACACCCATGAAAACTGCCTGGGCCATTAAGGTGCTGCGTATTTGAAAGCCACCAAATATTTGAAAGATGTCACCTTGTAGAAGCAGTGTGTGTGTTAGGGTGCTTTGGAGAAGCAAATCCACAGAAACTCATGTATAAAGGACAGTTTTATATGAAGGCTAAGTACGCATCAGGAAAATATCCCAACCCAGTGCCGTCCAAGCCCACAAGTCCAACGTGAACCCATTAGCCCATATGTCCAACACCAATCCACAAA